AAATTAATCTTTTCCAATAAGTTTAAATTGATTTTTTACCTTTTATGGGCATTTCTACCTTTATAAGTCCCTTTTTTCTAAAAGTGTGCATCATCTTTTCAGTCGAATTCTTAAATTGAATCAGTCATTTAGAATAATAAGTCATTTGGGCTTTTACCAAGCAAATTAAATCAGTATTGACAAAATTAATCTTTGCAATGCAGAGAAAACACAGAAGCTGCATTAGAAGTGGCATTTAGATGCATTTACACACTGTATAATGCAGGACATGAGTGTATTTAACCTGCAGTTACAAATGCATTAATACTGTTTTGATATTTTAAACATAAAACGTTGAATACTGATATTTGAAATTATACAAAAAAAAAACTTTAACTGTGAAACTAAAACTGCCAGTAGGTGGCAGCAAGTCACTGTTAATAAGTGAGTCATTGCGACTGAACCGAATCATTTAAACGGTTGATTCTTTCAGGAACAAATCAGCGTCATGTTGCTCAGAGACGCAAATTGGAATTATATTTGTTGGTGAAATAGAGCAAAAGCAGTGAATATTGTGTCTAAAACGTAAGTGTCTTAATATTAAATTCTTGTTTATTGAACTGCTGAATAAAATCAATATCACATTTGTAATCATGCTGCTTTTTGGTGGAAACAGCGTCAGTCTTCGCGTGATACTGATTAACTATATGATATACATTTCTGCCCCAATATCTTGAATTTTGTGATCATACTAAATGCATTTTAATAAACTGAATCATGCAGTGAAAGAACGCGCACTGGTCTAACCTGCTAAACTTTAGCTAACTTACATGGCATCTCTCATGAGTCATGGATGTTATGTTAGCAAGACAAATGAACTATATTTGCCTTTTGTCATTTGGACAAATAGCTGTAAATTCGAGGCACAGGTAGTTTAGTCTTTTGTTCATCACCACTCACTTCCACAGCAAGACAAACAACTGGAGAGGGAGGGCTTCACTTCTGCCGCTGCGGCTCTCTGTCTGTGACTGTGATGTGCCGATCAGAGTCTCAACATTTCCAGACCCGACCTGATATATATATATTATTATTATTTTTTTTTTTCATTAGTTTGACAGGGAAAGCTGTGCGCAAACAGAAACACACACACGCACATATATATATTAATTTATTTGAAAAAAAAAAAAAAAACTCCCCAGAAAAAAGGGCACTTTCTCTCACGGAAGAAAAAGGGCAGGTGCTCAAGCCCCCTTTGATGTTTATGTGTGCACGTGCCTGGCAAATAGAGACACAAATTACAGGATACACAAATGACCCACACGCTGCCATCTCTACAAATGGTCATGCCCCAAACTAACCCTAACCCTGGTTTAGGATGATCAAACAGAGCAATGTTCTGATAACAGCTCAGAGACACAGTATTTATACTTTTCAACAAAATTAACCAACAAATGGTGTATATATAGTTGTCGCTGTGCATTGAATAGTAATTTATAAGATGGGAGCAGAAATTCGTATTTTAGCTTAAAAACTGTTTTTGCATTGTTTCTTGAAGGAATCTAATGGATCTAAGAGGGTACTTCAACAGGATCGGGTTTACTGGTCCATATGACAAACCTGACCTGGACACTTTACGCACCATCCATAAGCTGCATGTTATGACCATTCCATTTGAGAACCTCAGCATCCACTGCAGGGAGAAAAACACGACAGACCTGAACATCATCTATGATAAATTAGTCAAGAGCAATCGGGGAGGCTGGTGTTGTGAAAACAACCTCTTCTTCTCATGGGTCCTAAAGGAGATGGGTTACAAATACACCACACTAGGCTCCAAGGTGTTTAATAAGTTCCAAAATGATTTCTACCCCGTGGACTCTCATCTCATCAATATGGTGGAGATTGATGGGAAGCCTTACATTACTGATGTGAGCTATGGAGTGTCGTGCCAACTCTGGTATCCCTTAGAGATGATCTCGGGTAAAGATCAGCCGCAGCCTCCAGGTGTGTTCTGCCTACTAAACAATGGAATGACGTGGGTTCTGGAGAAGACTTCAAGAAAGCAAGTGGTCAAAGATAAGGCTAATGCTAATTCTAGCCTCATCGACAGGCGCCTGGTGAAGACAATGTATTGCTTCCCATTAACACCCCGTAATAAAGAGCATTTTGTGGAGACCCTGGATTGCTTGCAGACCAGTCCTGATTCTCGGTTTGTGCTGAAGTCCATTTGCTCCCTTCAGACCCCAAATGGCTTCAGAGCTCTGATTGGCTGGACTTACAGCGAGATCACATACAACCCAGAGGAGGACTCTGACATGGTGGACATGAAGGAAATCCCTGATTCTGAAATAGAGGCTGTGCTGAAGGAAAAGTTTAATGTGGTGTTAGTAAATAAGCTCACACCGAAAAACAAAAAAGCTAATTATTGCATGTAATACAGTACTGTACTATGACCCGTAAGCATTGTCATGCATCTCAATGGACAATACTTGTCACCAGAGATGGAAAAGTATAAATCCATTTCATGCATTTAATACTTTTTAATGCCCTTAAATAAAATAAAATAAAATAAAATAAAATACACAGCTACTTCTGAATCGTTAAAGGACAAAAATGCTTATGTGTGCCAAATGATGTAGTTATGGAATCTACTAGCAGGGGCTGACGGGCATAGCAAAGCCTTCATCACATTAGAAAAACACACATACTTCCTAGAATGGCTTTTCTTTTCTTTCTTTTTCTTTTTTTTTTTTTGGAAGTGACAAAACTGGTCTAGCCAATAGAAGAGTTTCTGTGAAAGCCTAGCCCTGAATGCATGCAGTGTTTCTTTGCGTCTCAATGTTTTTTATGATTTCTGAAAAGATTATTTAACATAGACATAGAATATACAGGTGCATCTCAATAAATTAGAATGTCGTGGAAAAGTTCATTTATTTCAGTAATTAAACTCAAATTGTGAAAATCCTCATAAGGCTGCGGTTCTCTCGGTTGGTTGTGCATCTTTTTCTTCCACACTTTTTCCTTCCACTCAACTTTCTGTTAACAATCTTGGATAAAGATTGTTTAAAATTTATTGACTGTTTTTTTCTTAGTGATTGATAGAAACATGTATGCTCCAAAACACTGTATTTACATGTCCAACACAGCTCCATAATTTGTGTCAACAACGTATTTTAAATTATTATTGGCTGACGATAGCATCACAATTTAGATGATATTTATAAACAATAATACATTAATTTATAAATTTCATGAAAAACTGTAAGTTTAATTGTTGTTGTTTTACTTCAATAAGCAATTTTGAAACCGTGTTGGGTCACCACTTGATGTTCAATGTAAAATCCAGGTTCAGGTTAGAATCACTCCTTTAAACTATAATATAATTAAACTTTTATCTCTTCTCTTACTATTAAAGTCTAAATATTTGTCCAGGGTGCTGATGAAATAGCAGGCATATATCATTGTGAGGTAAAACTGATTACTAACAAGGTCAGGTTAATGTTTAAATTTAGCAGCTTTGAGTTTGCCGCACTTAAGTAGTTTACAGCTAACATAAACCTTTCTCCAAATATCGCCATCTTAGTTTAAAAAGTGACCAATTAAAAACATTTTTAAAATGTCTCCCTCTATTAATAACAGAAGTAAACTGCATGTACAGTATAATAATTATACAGATGTTGATTCAAGTGGGTTTAGTCACTGCACAATATATATTTGAATTGATACATTTATTTTCATGTCATGTTTCTTTTATTATGTCATGTCTCATTTTTTAACATTCAAAATGTCTGAGGTTGAAATTTACAGGATTAAAAGTCAGGGTAAAATGGCTATTATTATGGCAAATATTAATTAGGAAACACCACTGCATCATACCACATTATTTTCAGTATAGTGAATGTTATTATTATTTGAGTAATGTAAATATATTCTGCAATAAGTATTGTTTTTCTGTAAAAAGGGATCACTATTAAGACAAATTCAGATACAAAAAAACATTTTAGAAAAAAAAAACAAAATAAAATTTAGTCTGAAAGTCTGAATTGTCTGAGATTTTGATACATTTCTGATTCTTTTGCAATAGAGTTACCATACCTGCTTACTGCAATAAGTATTGTTTTTCTGTAAAAAGGGATCACTATTAAGACAAATTCAGATACAAAAAAAAACATAAAATAAAATTTAGTCTGAAAGTCTGAATTGTCTGAGATTTTGATACATTTCTGATTCTTTTGCAATAGAGTTACCATACCTGCTTTCTAAAAGAGACATTTACATTTACTCATTTAGCAGTTTGACCGTAAGTGCATATATGACCCATTCTTTACTACTTATGTAATGAACAACACACTGAACTTGGTACAATGATTAATAATGACATTATGTTAAATCTGACTCGAAAAGGTCAGGATATTTAGTTTTCGGGCCAGATTCTACATGTCATTATTAATTGTTGTACCAAGTTCAGTGTGCTGCTCATTACATGAGCATGAGTGGGACATACATGCAAGAATAATCTACTTCATATGGAAACGTGTCATTCAGTTTTCCTTTTTCTGCTGCAGCACTTGACACACATATATCTAACTGTGAAAAATATGGAGAAAGTGATTATCAAAACAACTGCGAACAATGTAACTGCAACATCTACTGAGTAATAGGAGTACCAAGGCAGTTTATAGGATTCTGAACGAAGGTGAGCAGCACCTTTGTGTCTCATTACAAACTCAATCCAGAAGAGGGCGCTGTCCAAAGGTTTAACCGGCGTGTCTCTGTGCAGATGAGAGAGTCTCTGCACACTCAGTCTGTAGGATGGCTCACTGATTACTTCTTGTATGGCCGCGTGCAGTGTGTTTTTATTTAAAGTTGCGATGGTAACTATCTTGGCTCCTCCCCTGTCTTGCAATCTAACAAGATTGTCGTACTGGTCAAAAAACAGTGGAATTCCAATCACTGGAATCCCATGGTACAAAGCTTCTTGAACCCCATTAGTTCCACCATGTGCAATAAAAACTTTAGTCTTTGGATGCCCTAGAAGATCATTCTGTGGCATCCAGTCAACCAGCAATGTGTTGTTGCCCAAAGTAGATGGCCTTTTTCCAGTGTATCTCCAAATCACCTTTTGAGGGAGCCGAGCAAAAGCAGCCGCTATTTCTGCTGTTATCTCATCTGGTAAGACACTGATAAATGACCCTAAAGACATGATAACGACTCCATGCTCTCCAGAACTTTGCACGAAGACTTCCAGGTCATGTGGAAGGGCCTTTGCTGGTTTGCACTGGAAACCACCAACGTAGATGATATTTGGCATTGTTGGACGTGGAAATTCAAAAACAAAATCAACCCTCATAAGCCATATATCAGCCCCCTGGAGAAGTTCATAAAAGCTTACAGGTGGATAGAAATATTTGTCACAAAGTGCTTGGTACTGTGCCAAATTAAAATAGCCATATTGAAAGTACATTAGCAAATAATAGAAACTATTTTGTACTCGTTGAAAAAAGTTCATTTTGTCTGTGTTTCCAGATCTTGTGATAGGGATGTAAGACAGCGGTGAGGGAGCAATCTCAAAGTGTCCCTCTCCAGGAGTGGTCCATCTCACATTATATACCATGGGTAACTTGAATTTATGAGCCAGGAAAATGCCTGCACCCCATACAGGATCAGTGAGCACCAGATCGTATTGCTTTTCCTTCAGTGTCTTCATAATTTCCTCACTTTCAAACATGTTTGTTATAAGCTGACATATCATTTCATGCATTTTATAAGTGTAATTAAGTGTATCCAAATACAGCCAAACAGAGCCCAGCCAGCTGCTCTTTCCAATTTCAAAGTTGATTGCTTGGGAAAGCATTTCTTCTACAAATTCTTCATCCATTCCTTTGGTGTTAGGTATGGTTATAGAGCCATAATAAGCTGAATTCTCCTTGATGAACCAGCTATTAGAGGTGCGTAATACATCAATGCTGTGTCCTTGACCATGTAAAGCCTTGATGAGGATGTCCATGTTCACCCAGTGACTTCCCTCCAAAGGTACCACCAAGATTTTGCCACCATCACAAAGAGAAACAAAAAGGATTACGACTGGTATCCAGAGAGGGACAGAAACCATATTCTTAGAAAATGGTGTCATCTTGCCTGTAAATGATAAAATAATTTGGATTACATATATATAGACATTATTATTTGGGTAGTTAATTGGGTTAATAATGTTGTCAACACTGTGCAGTACTGGCATAAAGTAAAGAAATTAAATAGTAGCCCAGTTTATTTGTGTCATCTAATATATGCAAGAGCATGGAAATAAAAAAGTCAGTGGAAGTTTTCAGATAAATGTCCTTCTTTTATTTTGTGCAAGATTCTACCTTGTACACATGAAAGCAGAGCAGAGGTAATTTGTAATAAAAAAACCAAATAGAAATAAATAACTTGTCTACATACAGTTATGAATCAACTGTAAAACAAATTAAACAATACCAACAACTATCATGAGTGTGCTTATTAGTTAAGAAAGCAAGGGATATAAACTATGAAAAGGGATGTAAATAACTTAAGCTACATTATACAACCTTATAATAATAACAGAAAACAAACTTAAAAATATAATATTACGGAGAAAAATCAAATATATGTAACTGTATTGCAGATATTAGCAATTAACGGCTCTAGCACAAGTGTTAGATGTGACGAACTTACAATTACATATCGCGAAATATTGCAATACTGGGTTAATGCCAGAAATAGTTGCAACAGCATAAGCATTCCGTATTAAACAAAGAATCATGATAGGAACTTACTTTGTCAATAACTTAAACTTTCAGTTTAATACTGTGGTCACACCATGCGCAGTCACGCCAACTACGCTTAAAAAATCATTGCGCGTCAACATGGCTTTGCGTGGTAGTGATGACCGCTTTTGAAACACGGCTTCATGAAGCTTTGAAGCCTTTGCGAATCATTTGTTTCAAAACAGTGGTTTGGAGTATAGGCATATTAAATCTGGTGGAATTTGCAGAAAACAATTAGATTGAAAAAAAATTTTTTCTGCCGACACCAAGTAGGCTATATCTGTCACGGTGCTGCGACTGTGTTGGAACGAGGAGACGAGGAGCACGTAGGAATTTCTCAAAGAACATCTTTATTCATCCAAATCAAGATTCACATGGAACAGGCAGGAACACACACGTAGCAGGAGGGTTAGACGTACAATACCGGACGCTAGACTGGAACCAGCACAGGGCTTAAGTAATAAGGGAACTAATGGGACACACTTGGGATCAATAGAACTAAACGGGGAACACCTGGAAACAAATTACATAATCAGGACAGGAACGGGAAGGAAACCAAACATGGGCATAAAAATGAACATGGAGCACGTGGGGGAGGAAAACACAAGACACAGAAACACAGGGCTGACAATATCAGGCCAAAACATGCATAAAACATTTTACAAACCCATTGCAAATGTTTTATTGAAAGAATAATACATTTAATGCAATTAAATAATAAAATACCATTAAATATGAAGTGTCTGTATAATGTGTGATGTTAATTATTATTATTAATTTAATTTTGCAGGGCTTGTTTTGTTTGTTTTACGGAGATCTTGTTTAAACAGGCTAGTAAGAGACTACTACTCATCCTTTTAATTACACAAATGTCTCATTAACAATGTCTAAAAATTGATAAAACTGATCCAAGATCAGGTAAAAACATAGATGTTGGTTCAGTGGTCATCAGAAGTGCAGATGGTGTGACCGCAGTCACAGACACTGTAGCAAGTAGTGAGTGCAAACTGCAAAACTCCAGTTGTGCCACTTGCGTAACAAAGAATAGGTCCCTTTACACTAGAATGATATCTTCACAAAACAATGCGTGTTTGCCGACATTAAAAAAAAAAAGATAAGTGACAGACAAGACATACAGCACAAAGAATTCACAACAACATAATTCAATTATGAATTATTTAAATGAATTAAAAATATATAAAGATAATAAGATACAATAATCTGTGTTAAGAAATTCGCAATAAATTCTGAACATGCCTTAATTGTTCTTGGTTTAGCTTTATTAATCCTTGCTGTTGAGCATTCTAACAATGCAATATTTTTTAGTTCTATGAGCCACATTTTGTCAGCCGGGAATGAAGGACCATACCAAATGTTAAAGACTACCTTCTTGGCTGAAGTTAGCGCAGTGTGAAATACTTGATAAGCGTTTAAAGTAAGATCAGTATCATCATTCAGCAAACAAATATTGGGATGTCTAGTGATAACCCTGTCACATAACTCTGTAACAATTAGAAAAACCTTATCCCAAAAATTACTAATGAGTGGACAGTCAAAGAAAATATGCATAAAGGTTCCCACACTATTTGAGTTACACAGTGTACAATAGGGAGAACACATACAGAGTTGCATAGGCCTTGTGAATCAGTTTAAAGTGAATGAGTTGATGGGCAGGATTCTCCATCCCTGAAACTGAGCAAACTTTAGCATTACACTATATCAAGCATTATCTTTTGAAATGCAGGAAGTCCAAAGTTTATTTGGAACATGATCTACAGTATGGCATAGATATCTTTAAAGTACACACTTTTTCTCACATGTAAATTTGCTGGTAATATCAATTTGATAGAAAGGGGTTTAAACTACTTTTCCATACTATGACTATATCATATAGCTTATTTTATAAAACAGTAATTTGGCACAGTGGCAGTTTAACTGGCGGAATCAGTACGTCAACTTGGGAGAGACGAATAAAGAGAGTTCACAGGAGGTAAAGCATAAAAATAAAAAAAAGAGTATCTCTGCATAATTTTACCTACATTAAGATCAGATCTTCATCTAAGTCCTATAAAAAAAGATAAAAATAACCCAAGGAAACAAAAAAGCTTAGTGTCAGAGATATAAGTTTAGTTGTTCCCTCATTTTAAGTAAATGTCCAGGGCTCCATACTACCACACCACCTACATGACACTTATCTCTTATGTGGTCAAAAAATATGATTTAACCATAAAGTCAAGATCAAATCATTATTCAAGGCAGTGGGGCTACTTTGACCATCGCCCATTAGCCTATAGATCAACATAATCTATAAAAGTGGAAAATGCATTTACACATATTTGAGAATCGAGATAGCCTATTTCCAGATTTAGTTAACACGTGTGGGATTTTTTCGAATAAAAAGAAAAAAAGAAATAAAACAAGTGCTATTGTGGCTGCTGTGTGTCAAATGAACCTCCTCATGAAGTCCACTACTTACCAGTGTCACACTAGAGCTACTAAATTATATTAAAGAAAAAAAAAAGTCTTGAAACCTGTTGAGCACTATAGACCTCTGAAATCATGCAAATCTCACATTAATAATAATGCTTTCTTCAGTGCTGATATCTTTATTTTGGCATGTTACACTCTGACCAAATTATTAGCATTACACAATATCACTATTTAAAGTGGTTATTCAAAATGAAGTGAGTAGCCAACAGCAAGACAGTTCAAAGCGCATAGTTTGTTTGTAACATGATCTTTGGCACATATGGTTTTAAAGTGCACACTTTTATTCATATATAAATTTGTTAGTGATATCAGTTCTACAGATAAGTAGTTGTACTTTTCAACAATATGACAACATGCACACTTGTTTATAAAGCAAGACAACTAATTTGTAATGTAACTGTCTGCTATCAGTATGGACTGTGAACTTGACAAAGAACAATGAGGAAATAACAGATCACTTGAGGGAATGCATGAATTTAAAATTAATCTGTTGAATTTTGTGAACAGACTGAATTCTACACGCACAGATAAAATTCTCAGTAATAAATCAGTGTGATTAGATTATACATACCTTGGTAGAGAGGTTCAGCATGCATACAGTCAGTTTCAAAATCAGCCCACGCCGTTTAAACAGAGAGTTGCTGCAGCCGGACACTTCAATAGATTTCCACTGGAATCAGATAATGCGGAAGTAACGTTATTTCCAAACACTGCTGCGTCCGAAAGCTGAACAATGCTGCCTCCGCAGGCAGCATATGGAAGAAGGAAGGCAACAAGGCACGTTCCAATAATCAAACATTTTTTTTTGTCACATTTTGATTGCATTTCTAGCGAGAAATTAGTAGTGTAGTAAATAATTTATGAAATGACTGTCTTTTTTTCACATTTAATGCATCAACTGACCTCTCATGAATCTAATCAGTAGGCTATAGTGTTATTTTTGTAGATAGATTTAGTAAATGTTTATTAGATTTTAATTGCACACAGTTTTTGGTCATTTTGACTCTGTCCTTCAACACAGTAGATTTTAAATGAAATTATAAGTTTAAATTGCAGCCTTTCATCTTTTGGATGCATGAGGATGTTAATTGTTCATCAAATTAAATAAATAAATAAATAATAAATTGCAACCAAAATTCTAAATATTTAATGCAGGTTTCTCCTACTGGAAAAGAGGGCTTAAAAATCATTCAGAGAGCATGGACAAAGTAACATTCCTAAGGCGTCCATGACATGCTGGAAGAGATACAAAACTATATTGGAACACTGAGCTATTGCAGAACAGCTTCATAGTGTAGGAGAAATAACTGAGAGACGTGAACACCTCTGATGTGTTGTTTTCTGCTATGTCATTTCTGGGCACAGAGCACTCATTGGACAAGATGAACAGAGCCACAATCTAATCAGGGAAACTTTCTTGAGCACATGGAACGTATCACAGACTTGTATAGCTGTACACTACACCATCCTATGCTACCTCCCTGTCTCACTCAGAGCAAAATGAAATGATTGCACAGGCACGGGACAGGCACTCTGAACAACTGGCGATAGGACTGCATTATGTCAAACCTACAGGCAATACCAGAAGCCACTAACTTTTTTTTTTTTTGATTTACTGGTGAGTCTATTCATTTTTCATCTCTAGTTAATCACCAAAGGTTTGCTGATGTTCGAAATCATCTTGGACTGCTCTCAACTGAGCTGGTGCAGCTGTCAACAACATGTTGAGTATGCCTATGTCAGGTGAAGTCCGTCATTGCAGTAATTGACAACTTCAGTGTCTTGACAAAATTTCAACACCAGTGGATGTAGGCCTCTGTTCCAGACTCAAGTTTAACACTGTCTACATGCTGCAGATGTTTCAGAAACTTATTTCCATAACTGAAGGCCTCCACAATTACCTGCAGAGGGATACTGCAGACCTGGGACAAGCAGCTCAGTACAAAACAGCGGACTACAATTCTTTTAAAGAACAATGCACTTAATTGTTTGCTCATTAGTATGTAATGTATTAGTATCTGTGAAACAAAACACTAAAAATACTGAAAATAATAAATATATTTTTCGTTTTTAGTTCATGAAGTAGGCACAGTGAAAGAGGATAAAAGTGTAAGGGATAGTAAGAGAAAAGAGTGGAGAGAGGGGAGCAGAAAGGAGAAATAAGAGGATAAAATGTATGGAAAAGACAAATTGAGCACATATTAAAAAGAAATGGATATAAAAAAATAAATGAAGATGTTAGATTGCACACAAGAATCCAGAAATATGTGCAAATACGGGTATAAACTTTTTGACTTGGCTAATGAGCTTAATATTACATTAGGCCCATCTCCCCCACATACATCTCCACATGTATCATGTTTCTGTCTCCCTCTGGTGGTGTGATGCTTTCCTAGTGGTCTTGGCCATGTTGGTCATGTTAGGGCATGTTCCAGCTCTTAATGTTTGTGGTCAGACTTACCTTTCAGTCATTATGGCATACCTTTGCCCTACATCTCATCTACAGGCTTGAAGTTTGGATGCATACTGACACACTTTCTAGTTTAGAGATGACCAAGGACATCTTCAGGGTGAGTTTAGTCCTGTTATTACATCATGCATGTGACGCTCATGTTGTTTGATTAGTTATTTTGTAAACCCCATTGGGCTAGGATTGAATGAATGCATTGGGTGAAGACTATTTTACTACCAATGGGACTTTTCTTCATCTGTCTTCACCAGAGTCTGACTGGGGTGAAATGATCTTTTTTATAGGCCCTTGTA